GAGAAAGAACATGGTCTCGAAGCTCACCCCCTTCCAGCCAAAGATGAGTGTAGCGGTGGTGTAAATCGAATGGCACTCTGTGGAGCCGGAGGCGCACCAACCGAAAAATACACAATAAGTTAACAAAAATAAAAAAATGAAAGAGAAAGAACATGGTCTCGAAGCTCACCCCCTTCCAGCCAAAGATGAGTGTAGCAGTGGTGTAAATCGAATGGCACTCTGTGGAGCCGGTGGCGCACCAACCGAAAGAAAGCCTCCATCCTCGCCATTAAAACACGTTGACACGATGTTTGGTATGCCAAGTAACGTCGATACGAGCGAATTCAATGAATACTTGGCCCTCCCCATACCGACAATTCCGTCGGCCGTCATGTTGAGCACAAGACCGGTTTGGACAATTCCACATCTGCAAGGACAGAATCGGAAAAGGACATTAACACATGGAGGGCATCTTCCAAAAAGCTCAGCAGCAGGCCAAGATGAGAGTGAGAGGCTAAGACGATGGCAATGACAAAGATGAAAAAGCAGGGACGCTGCGTAGGAGGAGGAAGAGAGAGAAGGGGGGAAGGGAGGAGAAGCGAGAAGGGGGGAGGAGTGAAGAGAAAAGAGGTACGATGAGGGGGAGGACGAGTCCCACTGAGGGGGCAAGACTGCGTACAAAGATAATGATGAGCATGACGATCTGATGAAGGGTTGTTGTTTATGTTAAAAAAAAGAAAAAGAAGGACAACGACATGGACAAGGATGAAGAGGAGGATGAGAACCCTAGATTGAACAAGGACGACGACAAGATACGATGAGGAGGAGGAGGAGGTTAAGCCGCCTACATAGAAAGAGCCCCAAGGGAAAGATGGTGCTCCAGGGGAATGCTGAGACCCATACTGATATGGCCATAGTCCCAAGAAACACTGTGCTTACATGATGTATTCAAGGGAAGGGACGTTGGACCCGCTTTCCAGCAGGTGTCGCTCCCCACCAATACGTGGAGCAGCCCGACAGGCGAAGCCTCAATTCCGGTGGTTCTCTTACCACTGCTGGGATAGAAGCCTTGCAGCAGGGCTTTTCATATTAAAAAAAAAAAAAAAAAAAAAAAAGAGGATGACGACAAGCACGATGATATGCTAAGCCTAGATAGAAGAAACAGTATGACAACAAGATCAATGATGATGAGGAGCATTAGCTTAAGATAGAAAGAGGATATACGACAGCACAATGAATCAGATGACGAGGAGGACTTAACAATCTTGATCAAGGTTGTAAATTATAAGGGACGCTGGACCCCCCGTCCAGTAGGTGCTGGTCCCCACCAATAGACCGGAGCCACTGATCAGGGGCACTCGTGGGGGGCTGCTGTTATCACCCCCACTAGTGCATCCGTGCAGTGTTCCCAAAAAAAAAAAAAAAGAAAAAAAAAAAAGAAGAAGAAGATAGATGACAAGGGGGGCAAGTCTAGATAGATCAGAGAGGCGGGCGACAAGGACGGCAATACGCGTATGTGCTTACCCGCCGCAATCGCGAACGCCATCTTCCTTGAAATCCGTTGCGACACAAGGGAGGATATAGAAAGAGGATGACGACAACAACGAGGATAACGAGGATGATAAACCAGGATAGAAAGAGCAGCGGCGACAAGCGTCACTAAATTAAGCTGATGATGATGAGTGCGATCAGCGTAGATAGAAGAAAAAGTGCATGACACAAAGAGGCCCGCTGTGTGAGAGTGCTAATCCGCACGACAGCACGTCATGAGACGACAAGCATCACACGACATGAAAGATGAGACAAAGTAAACACCAACCCGACCGAGCGCAGGATGACAGGCAGAGGGGCTGTGCGGTCTTACCCAATTGGGGCCATAGTGAAATTTACATGTGTCACATTCGAAACGCTAAGAGTGACAATATCCTGGACTGCTCGTCCGATAGTTGTGCTTCCATCTCCATATTGCTGGATGTAGATGCATGCTCCTCTGTTGCAATCCGCGTTCTCATCCGCCAGTAGATCAGTGCAGGACTGGTCCGTACAAGTCAGGACCTTTACTGTCGACGAACCCTCCAGATTAAATGCAGGATTCTGTGTTTTTTTTTTTGTTTTTTTTTTTTTTTCAGTGGCAGCAGAAGAGATGACAACAAACACAAAGGAGAGCACACAACAGGCATACAGAAACACCACTCAGCATTTGGATATTCAGCAATTACAGCGTTAGAAAAATACAAGTTCATCCTTCGGGACATCTGTTAAAATTGGAACGATACACAGAAGATTAGCATGGCCCCTGCGCAAGGGTGACACCGTGACACACATAAATCGAGAAAAGGTCCTGATTACAAAAAAAAAAAAAAAAAAAAAAAAAAAAAAGTTCACAACGTGATGATCGGAATTTTTCTAAATGGGTAACCCACAGGAAGGCCAAATGTTTGCAAAAAACAACCAAAAAAAAAACAAAAAAAAAAAGGCCTATGATAGTCTGAGATTGAAAAGAGTGGCTACTATAGATTTAAAGGGCCCGGGATGCAGAAAAGCAGATCAATCGCAATCCTCTGCACCTATCCGCAGACCCGTCCAGATTCAGGGGTTAAATCGAATACTCTTTGCTAGTGGACATGTGGCCCAGGCGCACTCTCAATGGCCTAGAATTAAAAAAAAAAAAAAAAAAAAAAAAAAAACATTTACTACCAACTTTCTTTCTTTTTTTTTTTTTTTTTTTTTACTACTAACTTATGCACTTTCCCTTATGAATAATCCAGTCCCATTTTCCTTTTTCCGGTCCCTTTCTGGATCACCACAGTCCCTCCGAGGCTCATTTTCCCAACGCTGAATTTTCCCGCCCCTGGACTACTGGCCCATTGTAAGAAGTCGGGCTTGTGGCGGTTTTCTCTGTTTTTGCATGTCTACGTCAATTTACCCTGATTGTGGCATCTAGTTTCTTTTTCTTTTTTTTTTCAGTTATACAAGTCGGGAACCGGGCCCGGTGTCCCGTACAGAAGTGAGCGTAGGCCCTGAAAGAGAACGTCCTGTTTCAAGCATACTTGCGGCGCATCCCGTGCGTGGGGTCACGGCACATGCGGCGCCGAGCGCACGTGCATGCGTGCTCGCGCGCATGATGCGGCGCATCACAAAAAACATAAAATAAAATAAAAGATTGAAAGAACAGGGTGGGGTGGCCAAACATGCCCGTCGCTTCTAAAAATCAGAAAGCAATAGGGAAAACACATTCAAAACAGGCGAGGCCACGCCATAGCCCAAAACTGTGGACGCTTGTCTGTGCGTGTGGGTGTGCATGTCCTAATACTGTCCAGTCTCTTTTCCAAAGGACCCCTACAGCAAATTAGTGAGGACCCCATGTGAAGCAGAGATAGACTTTAGACTTCCAGTTTGTAAGTGTGGGCCGAGAATATATAGTCTGGATTCGAATTCAGGTCTGTGCATCACGGTTGTGGGTCACTAATTCTCTTTTTTCTCGTTTTACAATTAGGAGTAATGGTAGGTAGGTAGTGTGAGGTGAAATTGAGAGAAGAATATAACTTTAATATATACTACGACTTTGCTAGCTTCCTGCTACGGTCAGGTCGAGCGGCAGTGGTCGGGGCCGTCACTACGCGGCCATGCTGTGCCTCTAGTGCCAGCGGCGTGTCTGGAGTGTATTTTTTGGCTGTGACAGACCTTTCTTTGTT